CGACTTCCAACGACACCATATGATATAAAGTGGCTTGGAAAATGACATGACATGACATTTAATTAATTACTCACAGAATCAAACCTTCAATAGAACATGAAGAAATATTTACTGCTTCTTGAAGCGGGGGTAATTACTGAGATTGTGCTCATCACAGACAGCTTTCAGGGTCTTGTGAAAGTGGATCACATCCTTCTTTACCAAGTATGATGGGGTTAAATCGATGACTCCCCCAAACCAGCCTTCTTCTGAAACTGAGGGGAAGAACACAGTAAAACATCAATGGATATAAGAAGTCAGCTGAGTCATTCTTTGTTATTAAGGATTCTGAGTTTTCTCTCCCTAGATTTGCATGGATCAGTGATGAGCCCTTCAAGTGCAGCCATTCTGAGGTGGAAAGTCATGTTAGATTTTCAGCAGCACCAAGCAAATATATTGCTGTGGGAAAGGTACAGATCTGCATGGATTAAACCTTCTAATAGGAATAAAGAGAATGCAGACAAAATCAAATGGTTGGTTGTTGATTTCAGATAAATCTTTCAGGAGTGGGTCAGGACACCAAAATTTAACAGAGAGCACAGATTTGACAATATATTACAATCAGTGAGAAGACTGAATGTAATACACAGTGCACAGGGTGAAAGAACACCTGACTCTGTTGCTTCTAACTGTAAAAAGGTGTTTACGTGTAAAACACATCTTTGTTAAAAACATTTCCTTGTAATTATGACCTTGTCATTATAAATAATGTGTAGCCGTCAGGCAGCTACAAATGATTAAAGAAACATAGTCAGTTTTTTTGATAAGAGAAAAGAGAGAATGGAAAATCCTCTAGCTGCAGGATGAGGAGGCTGGGTAAAAACACAAATTGTAATTTCTGTCATGTGGCTGTAAAGAGAGCTCAGCCAGGGCACACCGACCGAGAAAGAAAACAAGAGAAAGTCCTTTTCTTCCTCTCATGCTATTGTGCCTTGACTTTAGCTAAAATAAAGGCCTGATGATCACTTCACCTCTGTAGCCTGGACTCTGATTGTTTTCCTGGTCTCCTGAAGAGGGAAACCCTCATCCATTCACCTTCAATACACATTTTATTTATGACACTTTATTTTAAGTCAGTATTTTTTTAAATCACTTGAATGCTTGAACTGCACTGAGGTGAAGAAACTTCCTGTTACAATTCCAAGTCCTCGCCACTAGAGGGTGCCTCTAGCACTGGTTGCCTGCCCAGCTGAGGCACAGACCACACAGACAACTGCAATACTGTAAGTCTCAGTCAGTCCCTGACTGCCCAGTGTATCTACAGCAGGACTCCACGCCTCGCTTCATCACTTCGTGCAAACTGTGCTCTCGTTCCCTTCAGTGCACAGTCTCATATTCCTTTCCCTTGCTTCCGGTCTTTCTCCTAGGATTGCCTTCCTGGTTCCTGAATTCGGCCTGTCCCTGGATTTGGATAGTGGATTTAGTAATGCAGTGATTGTTTACCGATCCCTGTCTGTTGGTACTGTACTGTTCACGAGAGCTGTCTGGGGAGTCTTTTACACCTAGCCGCTCCTGATCTGTGCCTTTCTACAACTGGATCCCTGCGGCGTTTTCAAAAACGTCTTGTCTTGAAATTCACTTACTGAGGGGCCCTTTCAGAGATGACCATAAACAGCAGACAACATTTGCAAATCTTATGAACGTGAGCCTAAACATAGAATTGTCTTTTTGAAACAGCTTTCATATGTGAACACCGTGATCCGGTTAGTGGAATCTGCATTATGTTTGAAGTATTTCACTTCAAAAGCAGCAGTGAACCCAAGATGGTCATCGATCTATCCCTTGCAGAGTGGGGGTGTCATTCTGCCCTTCCTACAACGATGCTGCCATAACTTTCTCCCATCCTGGTTCCCATGGAGACTAAAGTGACCTGGTGGCAGAAGAGATTATTAAAGAAGCCATTCGGGGAAGAACCAGTCTGAATAAGGAACAAGGGTTTGATAAGGGTGTGGTCTGGGGGACCCAGCACTGCTAACGTGTGAAATGTGTGTTAGAGCTGTGAGACCATTGTCAGATATATTAAGATATACACCCCTAATCAAATGTGTACTTGAGGAAGCATTTTAAAGGAATAGCTTTTAAGAAAAAACAAGGAGAAATATAATAATAATAATTACTTGCACTTATATAGCGCTTTTCTGGACACTCCACTCAAAGCTCTTTACAGGTAATGGGGATCCCCTCCACCACCAGCAATGTGCAGCCCCACCTGGATGATGCAACAGCAGCCGTAGTGCGCCAGAACGCTCAGCTATCAGTGGGGAGGTGAGCAGAGTAATGAAGCCAATTCATAGATGGGGATTATTAGGAGGCCATGATTGGTAAGGGCCAATGGGAAATTTAGCCAGGACGCCAGGGTAACACCCCTACTTTTTTTGAGAAACAGCCTGGGATTTTTAATGACCACAGAGAGTCAGGAGTCCGGTTTTACGTCTCATGGGAAGGACGGCACCTGTTTACAGTACGGTGTCCCCGTCACTATACTGGGGCATTAGGACCCATGTGGACTGCAGGGTGAGCACCCCCTGCTGGCCCCACTAACACCTCTTCCAGCAGCAACCTTAGTTTTTCCCAGGAGGTCTCCCATCCAGGTACTGACCAGGCTCACACCTGCTGAGCTTCACTGGGTGTCCAGTTATGAATTGCAGAATGATATGGCTGCTGGCAACAGGAAATGTTATACAATGTTTTGTAAGGACACAATGGGTCTACAAATGCATATGGCCTAAAGGTTCCCTTTTTTTTTTCCTTCACGGAATTGTACTAAATAGTAAAAAAAATATCAGTCTACCAGCCAAGTAAATCCAAAAAGTGAGACCATTTTATTTTTAATGGTGTATAAATACCATGTCCGAAAGTACAGTTCCAAACCCTGATGAATTTGGAAGGAAGAGACGCCCAAAACATGTACAGGCAATATGCAATTAAACAAGCTTTACAATTTTCCTTTTTAGTTAAAGCACATGGGCAACAGCACATCCAGAACATAATACAGGCTACATACTGTAGTATTTCATAACACTACTCCAAATGGAAAAAACAACACCACATTTTGGTGGAAAGTGTTTAATAAAGGCACAATAATTAACCTTAAA